ACAGGCTGTGGCACTAGCCATTTCACTCCAAAGGCTTATGAAAGAAGGCTGCCATCACAGGCAAAGAAGAAACAGTCCAAGTGGAAAATTCATTTACTGCCAGGAGAGAAGAGGTCTGTCCTACCCTCAGTTACACTGCTGTAACCCAAAGCCATTTTTCTAAGACCTAAAATGTACTTGCCCCTGTTTTATGCTGTGCCTAAGCTGTTAGTTATTAATATGCATTCTGGAAGCTCAAAACAGAGTCTGTACTCCTGGCTTTACTTGTACACTGTAAATATGTATTTATACTTATTCTAATGTATATTTTTATTGCACTATACCAGACAGTGACAACATGTACAGGCCTGCTGGGATTTATCTGATAAATCTGTTCCCTCTTGGTAACTGGGCTAACACAGTGTATTTCATGTTAAAAACATCCATTTCAAGACCTCGCTCTGGAGATTCAGGCAGTGGGGATGGAGGGGCAAAGGAGAAGGGAAGGAGTACAACATTGCCCATACAGTTCAACTGTGGAACTAAAGATGGAAATTCACATGCAGAACAGGGCTCCCATCAGGAGCAAAGCTCCCAAACTTAGACATGAAAGAAGTCAGATCCAGGGAGCAGGGGCCTGTTGGCTACAGAACAGCCACAAACAACGCTCAAAGCCTGGGATCAGGGGACATTGATCTTCAGAAACAGATTCGTGCAGAGCTCCAGACAGGCAGCAAGTCAGCTCTCCATTGCAAGAGGGCTGTGCTGCCACAACCACATCAGATGACACGGGATTGTGTACCCAGCAGATGGTGTTATCGAAGCCCCCATTAAAACTCTGTTGGCCTTTCCTGGGTCATGCCAGAACCTGGTCAGGACAGGGACTCCCAGGGAAGGTGTATAACCTGTGACGGAACTGGGCTTAGGGAACTGGTCCCCAGCTCCTGCCCGTGACACCAGGCATGCACACACACACGTGTGAACACTCTCACACATGCACAAGCCTTACTCAAGGTAAAGTAATTTCAGCTCATTAAAACCACTGCCAAAACTCTGTTGTTATTGCCCTTGTACTCCACAAATCTGCAAACAGAATTATTTAAAGAGCATGTCAGCGTCTGAACTGCTCGGGAGTGAATGCCCTCCAGCCCCAAAACACAGGGGCACACCAGTACAGACTTCCCTGTCTGTGTCCTGGGGACAGCAGGTGTGTCTGACTCATCTGAACCTCCCCAATTTTGGCCATTCGGGGCGGGGGGGGGGGGGGAGGTGTGGGCACACCCTGTTCACAATTGTGGCAAGACTGCTTGTAAAACCGCTCATAAAAACAAATCAGACAGCTGGTTCTTCTGAGCCTGCTGAACAAGGGCTACTGTATCCATTAGATTTCCATTCCTATCTCTGATTTCCACGGTACAGAGGAGGTATAACCTTCAACGGGCAGCTGGGGTCTCCTGTCCTAAGGCTGTGCTTCTCCAGCCTGCTTCTCCCTCCTAACAAAGCACAGATCACCCCAGTCCTGTCTTTTATTTCCCCAGGACTCTAGGGCAGGCAGCTGCTTTCACCATTTTTTGCGATTTCTGAGCCCAGAGATTACTGAAGAGCAGTTACACTGGAGAAGACAGCGTCAGCCTTACACTTATATTTGTGAGGAGCCCGGAGAGCACATCCCCAGGAGACACAAGGACTGCTTTAGATGAATGGGCAGCAAACAGAGAAACACTCTGGGATGGCCTTAGGCAGCGTGCTGCTGCAGAGCCGTGCTCAGGAAAACATGTCTGTGGCCAAAGCGGCGGGGGGGGGGGGGGCCAGGCTGACCCACTCCCACAGGCGCTGGGAGCGTATCTCCAGAAACACAGGCTGTGGATGGAGGCCAGCTGGCAAAGGCACCTGTGAGACAGCACAGCCAGAGTCAGGAGGTGACCTGAGATGGGAGGAAGAGCAGAGGGAATTGACTTACAGAGTTCGCCACTAAGGCACTACAGTTTCTTCCCCCAGAGTAACAAGGTGCCACTTTCAGACCCCTGGGTGACACTGCCTGAGCCCCATCCTTCCTTAGGACCGTGGACGTCAGCAACCCAAAGGAAAAACTAGGCAGAGCCCCACAGCCCCTTGTTCCCTGCAATCGCTGATCAGGGAGAGCCGTTTCCCGAGGAAGAGGATGGAAGGACCCAGCTTGGCTCTGCTCCGGAGCAAACAGCAGCACCCTGCATGGTTCTCCGGGCTTTCTTCTGCACCCCCTGAAGCTCTGGAAATGCAGGTGAAGGAGCGAGGAAGGAAGCAGATCTGGCATTACCCAAACCTCACCACGCCGGGCTGGGGGAGAGCCTTCCACTCCCAACACGGCACCAGCCACGGGCAGGCCCGCTGCATGGAGCAGGCAAAGGGCTTCCCTAATCCTTGCAGCTACTGAATCCACACAAGGGTTACCCAAGGATGCTCAGCACCTGTCAGGATCAGGCCATGGCCGTCACCAACTCCAAACACACCTGGCCTCGCTCTCCAGCCATGCAAATCTTCCCCAGTTCTGACCACTCTGGAAACAACCCCTTTCCCACCATCTACCCTTGCATCAAAAAAATATTCTCGTCGGTCAATCAAGGAAACAGATAACAAAAAGCAAAATCTCAACTAATCTTTGTGGCCGAAGAAAGAGCTGATTGTTTTTGCCTCTCTCTGAGCCCGCCCTGTATCCTGCACTTCCCCAGTCCTCTTCACACCTTCTTCCCTTTATTGCCAGGGAAAGAAAATCCTGGTCTTTGGGCTGTTTTGTTTAGCAAATGAGGGACATGCAAAGCAATAACCCTGGGCATCTGTCAGAAGGAGAGAGGTGCCTCTGTGTCTTCCAGACAGCCTTCAGGCGCTGAGAGCAGCAGCCCAGAAATACCATGATCAAGGGTGGATTTAAGTTTGGACACAGGATGCATCTTTCTCTTCCTAATGAAGACAGAGGCACAGAACACCTGCAGGAAGCAGAGGTGTGTTCCCAGCTAGCATGGCATTATGCTGGAGCTTATCTTCAGGTTGTATTAACCTCCATGGAGTGGAATCATAAAGAAGGCAGAACCCTGAAGTTTTCACGTGGTGTTGGCAATGGTTAGGGAAGGCCTAAAAGGAACTGAGAGGAAGGACAGGGAAGAATTAGGCTCCAATTGGGTACATGTTGTATTGGAAAAAAAATTACTTGCTGAGTCCAGTTGCTTCCTGCCCTAGACTTCATGAGAAAGCATTTTCAGTGAAAAGAGATAAGAGCAGAGTCCCTTGTCCTCGCAGCAGGTCGTTCCCCCAGGGCCACACAGCCGTAGGTGATGGGGACACACCAGCAGGTTAGTCCTAACCCATCAGCACAGCACACAAGGGGAAACCTGAAGGCTTTAGACAATCTCCCAGAAATAGCTGCATACATACGTTTCCTTGTGAACATTTCTGCCTGCCATTAAGGGCCTAACTTGGGAACGGATAGGGAGCTTGACCTGCAAGGCTGCTACAGAATAAAAAAAGTACATCCCACACAATTTTTTTATCACTTATTCTGCTCACAAAGCAGAGATGTTTTTCTACTTTTGCCCTGGAATAGCACACGCACACGGAGAAGACAACCCAGAACAGCCACACCAAAATTATTCAATGACAGTTAAATCAGTCCTTTGCCTCTGTGCTGGATGAGACCTAAGAAAACGCAGAGTTCCTGACCCACCATCTTTCAACTAACAGTCACCATGGACACACTGATCTTAAGGCTGCAACCCTGAACTGAGACTTGAGATCTGTCACACGTTTCCTGCATGACCTTGGGCAAGCCATGAGCGCTGGATTTCCAAAGTTGTTCAACACACTGTGAAGCTCACAGAAAGCTTCACCCCATCTGTGAGAGGAGGATAATTCCCCCTCTCCTCTTCATTTCACTTGTTTGTTTCAACGGTAAGATAGTCAGGAACGGGACTGCCCCTCCTTATCTTCTACATACAGCACCTTGCACAATGGAGCCTTGATCTCGGCTGGAACGCCCAAGTGCTACTGCGATACTAATAACGAGCGATAGAAACTTAATTCGGCAAAGCAACCTAATTCTGTAACTGGCTTAGAAAGAAATCCTCTAAGTGTGCACAGTGAGACCCCTACATTAAAACCACTAAACTGCCAGATGAGCAGAGAAACAGGGCAAGCAGAAACACCGAGAGGATAAACCAGCCATGTGCAGCATTTCCACCTGTGAATAATATTCCAGAGAGAGAGACAGAGCTGGGTATGGATGCTATGAACATCCCACTTGACACCCTCATTTTAAAGGTGTTGCTTCAATACAAGCGTTTTTCAATCTGGTCCTTGGGCTGATTTTGACCTGTTGGCCCAAGGCTGATTTGTGTTCACCGTACCAGACGGCAAGGCAGGCAGAGAGCAAAGAGTCCCCAGGAATGGGGAAATCTGAGGCTGGGGAGGAGCTGAGCATGCACTGGGCTTAGCTTTGGTCTGATAAGTTTATCAAGCACTGCCGGCTGCTAACTGTCAGCCGGCAAAGCGGGCCTGTTAGGGAGGAGGAACAGCTCCCAGGGCAAGATAGGACAGCCCATGCCTTATCGGAGTGCCTGAACCAAAGAGAGAACTGGAGAGTGAGCACTTTCCAACCACTTCATTTGAACAACAGACAGATTGGCAGGAAAGGCCTGTCAGCCCTTTGCTTCTGCCACCCAGGCATCAACAGGGAGCCCCCATGCATGCAAATAACCCTGGTAAGTACAGCATGAGAGTTGCAAATGTGAACATAGGGGCCTGAGGGAATGCATGGGGTAGGTTTTCTTAGGAAAATTGCCCAGGGGGGAGAGTCAGATTTACAGCAAACAATTCAGATGCTTACTGAGCAAGCTGCTCCTGTTCAGTGCCCAGAGTAGCAGCTCTTCCCCACACTGCCTTCCCTAGGTTTTGGAAGGGAATCTAGCACTTCAGAATAACACTAGTCACTAAGTTCTGGTGTACAGATAATTGCTTTGTTTTCCTTTACTGTTTTTGAAAAATAGTAAAAAAACCCCCAACTGAACAGAAGAGGAAGAACCTCACCATTCCCATCTGAGCTGCAAGAGTATGGGCCAGCAAATACCCTTTCACACCTCTCTTAGGGCAGCAATAACTGAATCAATACCAATACAGCTGCAGCAGAGAGACTCTGCTATATTTGGATGAGCTCCCTTGGACCTGTGCAAGCTACCTGTCCGTATACCTCAGCCGTGACAGGGAGGGTGATAAGAGATTCCCACATGCCACATTCTCTGCTTGGTTTCCCTGCTGAGGGTGGGCTGTGCAGGATAGAACTGGCATCAGATCAGCAGCTTCAACACACTGCGTTCCTTCAGTCTTTCAGATCACACTGTTATCAGGCCATTGCTCATTTAGACCATACGGACAGCTGTCATCCTGCATCCCACCCACCTTTGGGTCTTTGGCTGGGTCCAAGCTGGTGACTTGGGTCCTGCCTGTATCAGGGGATTTGACAGAAAGCTGGCCCCAGTGCAAGCCCTGACCCTGTGCTGGGAGGAGATGTTCATACTTTGCTGCCTGGGTGCAAGTACTGTCTCAAGCCTTCCATGGGGTACGAGGCAGGAAACCTTCTGCAGCAGCAATGTGGGCCAGGATATCTCCAATGTGAGCTAGTCACTCAAAGGTTCCCTTTCTGGTAAGTAACATATCTAGGAAGCAATTTAGCTCCTCCTAAAGCACATACCTAAAATAGGACAGAAGTCATGTCTTCAGCGCACCTACTTCTCTCTCCTTGAAGAGAAAGGGAGCCTAATATCTGTAGATATCTAAAGTTACATGAGATGAGTCACACCCCTGTGGCTTCTGCAACACTCTGGGGCCAAATTTGTCACAGCTGTTTCTGCTCCAACCCATAATCTACTGTTCTACAGGCCATGAGCAGCCTCTAAGCCGTTTAATTCCTCTGTGCATCAAGGGCTCCTAAGCAAGTTCTAAGTATGACAGCCACATTCAGCACTGGCCAACAAAACTCTGAGGTTCAAGGCTTCCTCATGAAGAATGAGGAGTTAAAAAACCCTATCCTATTGATTCTGCCTTCCTCTTGAAGAATTTTAAAGCAATGGAACTTTATCTTACATCCCAGGCCCTTCTATATTAGGAGCTTTGGTGGGATTTTTGGCAGTGGTCAAGTCCGCTGGTTTTGTCTCTCTATAAAATAGAAATTATCTCTTGCCTCAGTTGGGGAAGGGGAAGTCAGAGATGATGGAGCATTCCTGTTCTTGAAAGGGCCCCATCCTGAGAGCATGGACACGGTGAACCAGTGTGTCAGTCAGACATCCCTGCCCCAGCTCCTTATTTAGATCCAGCCTGTAGTAGCTTGACTGTAAATCAGTCAGGCTCAGTGGACACCCAGGTGTGACAGCACCTGGAAAAGAGAGTCCAGAAACTGCAGCTGCATTTTCTGGTATCATAGCATCACAGAGAATGCTAAATATAAGGCTCAAAACTCAAAGAAGGATTATTCCTGGCTTTGACGTTGTCAGCTGATCGGAGCCAGTCACTCTCCCTCCCTGTGTCTCAGGTTTCCCCATTTGCAAAGTGAGGATAATAACATGGACACGCTCCGAGATCTACAGATAAGAGCAAGGTAGAATTGCTGCACATGCACAGTAATCTTACACTGGAGTGGCATTGTGAAAAATCCCACAGAAAACACATAACGCATCAAAGCAAGGTCTCTGCATTGTAATCTGCCAACCTGCATTTTTTGCTTTAAAATATTTGCCCAAATTTCAGTAGGACAACTAGAAATGGAACTTGGGTCACCTGGACTTCCAGTCTTGTTTGTTAACCAACTTTCTAGCTTACCTCCTTGAAGTATAACTAAGTAGAACATCCCAAGTCAAAACTCTGTTCTTAGGAAAAGTATCATGTACTATTGGTAAGATTTTATTTCTGAGTTCTGGAAGATACTTATAAAAATATCCACAAAACTAATTTTCTAGCGCCTTACATTAAAGGCAGAGCTGACAGAGCAGAAGGCCTTTGGTTTCAGAGAGAATACGCAAGGGACAGCTCAAGTTTCCCATCTTAATTGGAACTTAAGGAAATAATAAGCTAGAAAGTCAGAGAGCCATGTCTCCATGCCTGCTGCATAGTGCCACAACAGTGGTCTTGGAGGACTCACAAATACTGATGATACTTTGCATTTGATAGCACATACTACCTAAAGATTTCAAAATGCTCCACAAAGATGGAAACACCTTATACCTGTTTTACTGCAAGGAAACCAAGAGCCAGGGAGAAAGTAACTCAAGGTCATACAGAGAGCAAGTGAAAGACCTAAGAAACGAACTAAGGCATTTTAGCTCCTAGCTTTTATTTCAATCATTAGGCAGTGTGCAAAATTCATATAAAGAGCTGCATAAGTTGTACCAGTGGAATTCTGTGCATCTTCTCCAAATAAACAGGCTCTTGACTGTCTCGGAGTCCTGGCACATCTTTGCTCACAGTACACCTTGCTACTGCAAGTCTGGAAGCAGCCACTACATACCATGACCTATTTCAGGCCAAATCCCTATTTTCTTAACTATGTGTTCCCACTGAAGCGGGCACAATATACAACAGTCAGCAGGATTTAGCCCCTAGCCTGCAAGTTTTCTCACAGCATCATTATAAATTTTGCGGGAGATGATACAACACAAACCTTGTGGTTGTCAGGATCAATAATTTATATTTATGGGGTACCACTTCCTTGGCCCCACTTCCTCAATCCCAAAGTCCCCAGCAATCTTAGCTCGGAAGGGAATGTGACTCAGGCCTTCAACTGAAGGGCTGTCATCTGCAAACCCTGAAGACTGGATGTGGCCGTGGTTTTATCACTGGCCACCAGCTGCCTCTAGAGCTCTTGCCTCCTCCCCAATGATTCAGCAAATCTTCTTGGAGGAGAAAAACAAGCACACAAGTGAACAAATCACAATGTCAGATTACAAAGATGAGCGGGGAAAAACTGCGGCTCAAAGGAGGGAGATAAAAGCTGAAGTCTCACGATCCAAGGACTGAAAGGCCTGGCAAAGACTTGTATTTTTGGAGGAGGGTGATAATAATGTGAAAAATAGGGTTGTAGTTTGGATTCTTTACACTGTGAAACATTCCTAACTATAAAAGAGAACACTGTGGAAGGAAATTAAGCATATTCTGCCCTCTGCTATCCGGGCATTGCACAGGGCTGATACGGATTTTTACTGGGATAGCTGAAACGTGAACAGTCCATTCTGGTTTGCACTGGAACAAAGTTCCACTAAGCAAACTATTTTCAGAAAGAGTTTCTGCTCTCTATAACCAAGACTTTCAATAGTTTGGAAGCCTATTATCAGGCACTTTGAACATCACTGCTCCTGAAAAAAAAGTTCTGTAAGTCATTTGGTATCTAAGGCATGGCAGAAGGCAATTAGAAATAACGTTTTGACTTCTGACAGTTTGGCCACTGTATCATATTTATATATTATAGCCCTTTTCCATAAACATTTTGTTTCCTGCTGTAACCACTTCTGAGGTGAAACACCTTATCAGCTTAACAGCTCATGGTACACAGTCTATAGAATAGAAAGTAAAGAAGAAACTTCAGCCAAACCTTAGGTGGGAGATGTAGTATTTCCCCCCATGGCATTCAGCCCTGACACTCCGGGCAGAGCCCAGACTTCCAAGAACGCCATGAAACCTTAATGGAAATAAAAGTGTTTGCAATTTATGGAGCACTCATGTCATGTTTGTGGAATCTCTCAGCCCAGTGGGTCCTCTGTTATCGGTGAGACAGAGATGCAGCCTTCCACTAGATTAAACGCAACACAAAAAATAAGCACAAAAGGAAGAGGAGATTGGGAACTGTGTGTACACATATTGTGGATGGATAAACTGAAGCTGACTTTGGTCTCATATTGCTTTTACACTCTTGCTGATTTATCTTACTAACCAGCACAGAGATCAATGTTTTGACACTAAAGTACAACTAAGCAGGACCGATTTACGCTGCTATGGGTTTGTGTATTCTCTGAGTATGTATTCACCTCACCAACAACTTTCAGCTCACAAAACCTCCTTGATCCCTCTCCAAGGGCTCCCAGAGGGAACAGGGTTTTGGGGTACCTACTTACAGTCCCTGCTGCTCTTCCCTAGGAAACATGAAGGGAGCAACCACAGCACAAGCCAGAGGACCTCCTCTGAAGCTCACCCAGGGAGTTAATACTATGTAAGCCATGTGTAAATAATGCCAGGGCTGTCTCCTTTTAAAGCGTTTCCCTGTGCAGTACTGCCACCTGCTCTCACAGGTTTGGGGGTTTCCTCTCAAGTCTAACAATAATCAGGTGTGTTCTTAGAGCTCCAGTGTCAGAGCCAAGGGCATTACAGTTTTTAAGCTGAAAGGGGAAACCTTATCACCATGTTCCAGTGTTTAAAGGGTGGCTACAAAGAAGATGAAGATTCCCTTTTTACAAGGAATCACATGGAAAAGGCGAGGGGTAATGGGTATAAGTTACTCCTGGGGAGATTCCAATGGGATACAAGAGGAAAATTTTTCACAATGAGAACAGTCAGCCATTGGAATAATCGCCCCAGGGAAGTGGTGGATTCCCCAACATTGGATACTTTAAGATTCAGCTGGAGGAGGTGCTGGGGCATCTTGTTTAGACCATGCTTTTGCCAAGAAAGGTTGGAGAGATGATCCTTGAGGTCCCTTCCAACCTGGTATTCTACGGTTCAGGGATCCTATGAAAATGTGGTACTACTGCACCCTACAGGGTGAAAACAGCGAATATATAATTCTATTTTTTTTTAATCACAGTTTCTAAGCCAGGCTCATTGCTTTGGGGAGGGAGGCTGGCTCATGGCTCCTGGGTATTTGCAGCTGGTGGTTCTGCTTCTGCCCCATCCCGGAGCTCTCACAGAACAAACACACCCATTGCCCACCCTGCTAGAACAAGCAGGAGGAACAGCAGAGGCTGTAACACTAACACACAAACACACATACACAGAGAAATGCCACCAACCCTGACTCAGGGACTCCGTGGCGGTGGGGAAGCAGGGCTCCGCTGTGCTGGAGCTGTCCCGCATGTCCCGGCTGCCATGTGCAGGGTACCCACGGGAAATGGGGAGCTCAGGGATGGGGGGAGGTTGCTTGCACGGTGTGGAGGTGGGATGGAGACATTCACCTGTTTAAACTGCTGCCTTGTTCTGTTTCATCCCTCTTGATTTGGTACAACAGAGGCAGGCACGCTTGAGAAACTGCCTGGCAGCAGAAACCTCAGCAAAAGTCTGCTTGAGGGTTTGATAGCTGAGGGGACCTGGTGATCTGGTGAAGACGACTGCCTCCCCCAGCACGCTACACGCAGCATGGGATGCAGTGAGCCCGGCTTTCTGCCTGCTTCCAGTGGGCTGGAGCCGAGGGGAGAGTGTGCAGGAATCGATGCCATATGTTCCTGTGACCGCACTCACCGGACCTGTTCCCTCCTGGCGCCCAGTTAGTTTTGCCAGAAGAACAATCTGTGAGATCTCCCACAAGAAACATCTTTCATTTTCTCACTGTAGTCCTTCATCGGCACTTTTTAAAAAAAAAAAAAAAATTATCTTAACTGCATTTCCATCTTGCCTTGTCCCTGCACCCTACTGAGCTGCTGTAACTGTAACTACAGCAGAGCAAATGCAGAGCATGAAGCCTTTTGTGCTACAAATGCATCTCATACAGATTAGTAGCCAACTGCCTGAGGGGTTTCTGTCAGATAGTGCAGGGGACCTCTGTCATCAGGCAGCTGTATGTAGCTTTACAGGGTTTTTTAATTTAAATTTTCTTTCCTCAGTGGTGCCACAAGAGTCTTTTATGGTACCAGTATATGATTCCAAAATCCACATGGAAGTGGGACCAAAGGTAAAGCAACCCATTGCTCACCCAGCTGAGTCCCTTCTTTTCCAAAATCTGGAGCACAAACTTCCATTTTTGCATGTTCCCATGAAGGCCCAAGTCCGTGTGTGCCACAGGCAGAAAGCAAACCCGATGCTTTCCCTTTTTCTTAGGGAGGGATACAACAATCCCCAGGTGTCTGGTGAGAACCTGATTGGCCTCAGCAGGGCCCGTCGCCCACACAACGCGATTTTTGTGAACTTCGATGATGAAGAAATCCCAACTAAACCC